ACTAAAACTAGCCAACATTCATAATGAGCATTCATAATCTGATTGCTGTACAAAAGACTGTTCATCTTTAGGGTATAACTTGAAGTTGTTTCAAGCCTTGCCATCATAAATATCCATTATTTAAACTGGAAATAAACTAACTTTGGTTTTCCAACTAGTGATTTTTTTTTCAACACAATTTTCTCCAAGAAAAATTTTCTTTGGGTATTGATTATTGAGTAGTTATATATATAAAGACTGAAGGGAGGCTTGACCGATTCATCGAAAAGAAGTTGTTGAAATATCTCAGCCTTTGCAAAGGATTTTTTTTATTACAAAATTTTCTACAAAGACAATCCCTTTACTCCTCAGTAACGTATCTACGGATGTTATAATGTCACTTAATACAAGAAACGTATTATTGAAGTCTATCATGAAAACAAAAAAAGATTTCCATTTGACATCACCTGTAAAATGTAATAACACGTTTTTGGAAACGATACTGTTAGATAAAGTCTTTTATTGAGGTATTAATGAAGGTCATCATTGTTTTGAGGTTTTTGCCAGTTACATATTGCTCTTGGATGAGCATTGACTTCATAAAGAATATAAAGGGTAATTGCTCCTTCAGTAAATTTGTCTCCTTATATGGATTAATTAAAGGAAAATCTATAAATTAACTAAAGTTAATGCACATGATGTGAACATACATTTAATAAGAAACTACTGCTATCTTTTATTATGTACGATGCATCTTGCTATTAGATGACTTCTTTTCATAATTCATATGTTGATGCACTCACTATTTATCGCTAACTTGAACCCTTCTACAATACTCGACTGTTTTTTTCTTTTTTTTACTTATAATATAGAGTAGATTTTCTTATTATTATCTTATTCACCTTAAATTACACTAAAATAGACTTCTTCTAAAAATTTCATAAAAAAGAAAAAAAAAAAAGGCAGATCGCCAAGTTTTATTCAGCAATTAAACTATTTCCCTGGCAGATTGTGTCGTCGTTGACTATAGAAAGTATAGTTAATTACTATTATAACATTACTCTTTTTAGGAATTTATATCCTTTTTTTTTAGTAGAGTAAAAAGCCAAAGAGTACAATCCACGACCTCTAATAAGAAGGTGCTTATAATCCAGTGTTACTATCGAATAGTACATGACATACTTAATAATGGCTTATCTGCTGAAGATCCAGGAGACTCTATACAACTTGATAATGAATCGGTAATAACGCCTTTTTTTCCCTCACTCTTTTGGGACAATGAATCTTAAAGTATAACGGTTGATAAACCGAAAGAAATACAATTCAAGTTTAGTAGCCCCCAAATAAAAATGTTAATTTCATTTGTAACCTTATCCTTACCTTACCTTGCTAATACTAATACTGATAATAATAAAGAAACCGTCCAAATAGTGTCAATTTTGAAATGTAAGACTACTACAAGTCAATTAGTGAATCAATAAAGAGGATTACGAGTAAGAGACTTCAGATATTAAACCGGCTCATATTTCTTGCTATCATATGATGACATTGATAGATGGTTGCTCGAAAAAAGGGTCGAATATAATAGAAATTACATAAGGTGTACGTAAATCACTTGGAAATTGAATTGATAATGAATTATTAAAATTGATCCATTGTAAAAGTTATGATCACGCCTGTAAGAACAGTAAATGGTAGTCGAGTCATTGTAGCTGACAGATATAAAAGTATTAAACAAGTAAGGCTGATTGATATTTTCCTCACTATCTCGTGCAAAATATCGCGGGATAATACGTTTTACAAGTGATATGACATCTTTTTTCTTTTTTTTTTTTTTGGCAAAGTTGATCTATGACAGCTTAACTGTTATGGCTACCATTTCACAAATAAAGACAGTGTTTTAAATGCAAAAGATAAGAAAGAGAAAATAGAAAAGACAAGTATGTGAAAACTCTGTATAGTTTATTAAGAAAAAAAAAATAATATGGAAAAACGACAAGGGCTGTTTATATATTTTCGCAAGGTAAGTGGTATGAATAAATAAATACTGGTATAATAAAACATTATACATCAATATTGTTTCCGAATAATCCTGCTTATGTTAATATTAATTCACAGTGAATATTCCAGCTATTTCGTTTCTAAATATAAAGAAAATGGAACAAAACGTACTCTTAGTGACAAGTTCAATTTTTTTTATACATTAAACGGAAAAAAAAAGGAAATATGCATACATAAAAAAAATATAAAAATCAAGAAAAGCGATGAATAAGTACACAATATCTTTAAAATATTGTACTTATCTTAGTTAATTTTTAAAGAAAAATAATCTGATTGTAAAGGAGGAATAGTAATCATGATAGTTTCTCTGATAAGATATTAGTCAATAGTTACATAATCACCACTACACCATATCCTATATTTCTGTATTTTTTAAGTCATTACTTGTTTTTATACTTCTTAAAGTCAATTTGGAGCAAAAAGATATTTTATTATACAAACAATAGTTAAAGAAGGCACAAGATTATTAAAAGACGCGTAAGAAAAGAAATATTTATTTTATTTTTATTTTCATTTTTATTTCATATAAAAAAGTGAATCCCCAATTCGTCAACAGTAATAATTACTGCAGTCCAAAGGTGGCCGCGTGGAGGCTAGGATTCTTTGCACCTTCTTTGTTCTTGTATTTTTTATTTTTACTAGGAGGTTAGAAAAACCATAGCGATCACAATATGTAACGCCCTCTGAATCAACAAGATACCCTACAATGTCCTCCTAATTCAAGGAGGGCAAGATAGGGTGTCTTCCTCATCAAGAGCCCGGTACATAAGTGGTAACCATGAGAAAAAGAATTTCCTCCTAGGGCAGGGAAGAAGAATAAAATAGTATTATTTAATGACTTACCTATAGAAGAAATAGTAATAATAAAGAAGAAAAAGAAGAAAAAATAACTTTGAATATCTACTTTTTTATAAGAATAAGGAGGTCGTTGTTGTAAATTACAGTCACAATCATATGAAATCGATAAGAATATGTGTTACCCCACATTTAATACACACACACACAGTTACATTATTTAATTTTCTTCTTTCTTATAAAAAGTAACAATGTGTAGAATAGTAAAATGTTGTCAATTTTATATCTTCTTTATGACTATATAAATGTGTTTAGTTAAAGAAAAGAAAAAGAAATAAATAAATGTCTTTTTTTTTCACTTTTTTGTTTATATTCTCATAAACTTTCTTTTTCCTAATTAGGCAACTAATATGCATCTCATTTAGTCTCCCTTATGTTGTGCTTAAAATCATTTTTTACCACATACATTGTTTGCCAAAATGAGATTGTAAAGATTAACGATTTTAGCTTCTTTGACGTATGCTATGAAAACCAGTTTAAGTATCTTTGATTTGCATTCACAGTAATCTTTCCTACATCCCTTTTAAATACTAAGACATGTTATAGATAATATATTCCTTATCCATATGTTTAATCAAGAAACATGACATTATAAGTCAGCACATAATAAATTTTTAACGTACATTAAAATGAATCGGCTCTATTCCAATGATTACAATGACTGTAAAGAACTCTTATAAAGACTAAAAGGGAGACAAGAAGAATGATAGACAACATGTTACTATATACCAAATATAAAGGAGGAAATGTATTCCTTTTTTCAAATCTCTACTGTTGCTACATTTTAGCTCTGGAATATCTCCTTTTGTAATGAAGATAATAATGAGAATAATTAGTTCTGATGATACCTATTTTCCCTAAAAATATATATACATGTATATATACTCTATAGCAATAATGTTCGTATTACTACTGTCTTTTTATTAGAGCTATCTTTTCTGTATAATTTACGGCTTTTGAAATATAATTCTTAACCTCTTTTAGCCTTCAAGTTTGTAGGCATTGACAAATATATGACAATATACTACATAGAACAAGGGATTTATTAGGTAATTCATTTCAACTTTTTTTTTTTGATGAGGCAAAATATGAACTTTAAATATAAAATTGGATAAAGGAAAAGTTAAGATTATTCATTTTGTTTATACAATATCCAGATAAAGTTTCAGTAAAATAAAGGAGAAAAAAAAAGTTGAATATTGTCAGAAAAGAAATATCCTTGCATTTATTACTGTTACAGTGATAGAATTGTTATATTTGTCAATATCTTCTTTTTTGAAGTAATCGAGAACATTCTTCTTTACACTAGTTTATAGAGATATTGATTGTTATTACAATATTCTTGGTAGAGCTTTTTTTTATAGTCTTTGTTCCTAAGTAAGCCATAATAATGTATAGTATTAGCTAGAGAAGCTGCTAATCAATTAAAAGAGTCTGTATATTACGTTACTTGTATTATCAAACATAACAACTATAGATTTGTATCTGTATAGGCATAAAATAAGGCTTTTTAGACACCCTATTTTTCTTCATATAGCTTAAGGGCCATAATGATACCAAGATACATAATATACATATCTACGGTAAATATATATAAATATAAGGGAGGTGTCATGAGCTGACTTATAATATCATGTTTCATGATTAAACATGCGGATCATAAATTTATTTAAGAAATTCTATCCTGAATCTCTCTTGATCCGCTCCATCTAATAATATTAAAATCACTAACACTTCATTGTCAACAAAATACCTTATTCGGTCGTAACTATCACTTTTCTGATTCACATCTTATCCTCAGACCTCTTTAACAATTCTTATAAATACCCTATCAATTTAAATTCATTAAATAAAATCATTGACTTTAGAACTATTATTCGAACTTATTGATTTCTTTTGTCTTAATATTATTTTTTTATTTTCTAATATTTTTTATTTGATATTTTAGAAGAAATATCACAGTATTAAACAAAAAGAAGAGCTCAGGAAGAGGAAAACACTACAATTGTTTCTCAACTGCTGACAAATATTTGTTAATTGGCGACAATATCCATCGTACTGGCTGTATTAAAGTCAGGGATATTTATAATAATAAAATACACGGGTTAATGTAAATAATATTTCATTTATTATTATTATTTTAAAAACAAACATATATGAATGCTTATGTACAAGTACAAAAAAAAACAATGCTATATGCTTTTTCTTCTTCCTTTCTTGTAAACAAAAGAAGAAGAAATAAATAAATATACATAGACTACTCGTGAAATGAAAAATAAATAAAAATAAACAGAATAACTCCTTTCCTTAGTCTTTGTTAGCCGCTCCTCCACGACCCCGTCCACGTCCTCGTCCACGTCCTCGTCCTCGTCCACGTCCACGGTCAGATGCATTATTTGCCATATATGTCTTCCTCTCTTTTTGTTTACGGTCTCGTTCAAGACGTTCCCCCCAATATGCTTCGTAATTATCATCCTTAAAGGAAGTATCTTCTTCAACTTCAGGTTGTTTTTCAAGCTTTTTCTTTTGATCAAAACCACCCATAAGTAGCACCTCCTGCCATCGATCCACAGCTTCCCAAAAGTGGTTGTTAGAAATAGATGCAAAGTTAGGAGCAATTTCACGATCTTTCCCCTTTCCAATAACATCTGGCTCTGGCAACAACGCTGTGAGTTCATGTAACTCTTCTTTTGGAAGCTTTTGAAGTAATTCTGGTATTAAAGACTATTTACATATAAATGTTAAATAATGTATAAAATATACAATTAAGATTCTAGAATAGAGTTTCTTACCCTTAAATCTGCTTCTGTAAGATAACTCTCACTATTTTCAAGTAATGCTTTAAGTTTTTCATTTTCATTTTCATTTTCATTTTCATTTTCCTCTTCCTCTTCCTCTTCCTCAAACAACATGCCTTCTTCATAGTCATCAATAACATAATTTTGTTTTTCCTTTTTTGCATCTCTGACACTTCTTCTGGGTCTAGAGTGTGTTTGGTTTATCGTCATTGCATTATCCTTTTCTATAAGATCTTCAGATGAAATCTTATCTTCTTCTTTTTCAAATTGAATATATTTTGTTGGTTTAAATTCATTAATAGACTGCTTTTGTTTATTTTGACGTATACGCTTTGTACTGGAACTTTCTTCAGCAACGTTATCTGCCATAGACGGTTCAAGATCGATTATTTTACGTTTTGATACGCGTTTGAATGGCCTATTTGAACTTTCGGCATAAGCAATATCTGGAATAGACTGGATTTCTTCACTCGTTGGCTCTTTGTGTATAAATGTATGGTTTGGGCAGCAGGTGTACTATTTTGGCCCATTGCCTCATTTTCCGTCTTTTCTTCTTCTATAGGATTATCTTCAGTATTTGTAATAATAGCCTTAGATATAGATTCTGTATTTATTACAGTGTTCTGTTTTTTTGGTTTGCGTGAAACACGTTTTGGTGCTTTTTTAGCAGCAGCAGCAGTAGTAGTAATAGTATTGGCAGTACTAGGACCCTCTTTTCTGCTATGTTCTTTCTGGGTCTACCTCGAGTAGCGCGTTTTGGTTTTAATACTTGAGAAGGCTGTTCAACTTCAGTCATGCGTTCATATAAGATTTTCTATTTTCAAATTTGTTCATTAGTGTCATTTTCAAGAGCTTCTGTCATTCTCTTGCTTTGTTTAAATTGAGTAGCATTATTAGAGATTGCAACAGCAGGGTCGTCGTTTTTACCATTTTGTTTTTCAATTGACAGAGGAATAGCATTCATGGATTCAGTATTTACAGATTTTGCTACAGTGTTCATTTCATAGGGGTTTGTTTCATATTGACAATACTCTTTAGGTATCTGATTAGATAAATTAGTAGTATTTTGAATATTCTTGGTATCTTTTACAGTTTCGGTATAAATAACAGGTTCACTGCTGGTATTTTTCTTTTTTGATTTATCCATTTTACAATTCTGAATGTTTTCAGAATTTATTTTATCTTTTGCAACTTGTATAGCATTAGCCTTATTCTTTCGTTGATATGGCCTTTTGGGTTTTGCATCTTTCATATTAACTGTCTTGACTGTTTTATTTTGCCGTCTGACATATGCTCTTTTAGGTTTTCGTTTTTCAACTGTTCCATCATAGTTAGCTTGAGGTTCAATATTTGAAATGGTATTGGCTGTAGCACTTGACTCAATAGTAGATTCTTTTTTGTTTTCAAGTAAATTTTCTACTTTGAGTAATTGCTTAGATGATTCGGTGGAAACATGAGTTGAATTTTCTGCCTGTTTTTGATTATTTGATATGTACTGATTTATTTTCTTTGATGGGGTTTCAATATCACCTGCAATACTTGAATCTTTATCTATTGATGTAGTATGTAAAGAATATTTAGTGGCATTTATATCTTCACTTGGTATCTCAGTAAGAGTGGAAAAGTATTATGAGTAGGATATTTAGAAGTAACAGGTAATGGTTCGTTTGTAGTCATATAGCTGTAGAAGTTATCAGGTTTTCTTTGATTAATTGGGGTATTAACCTCATTCTTACTTTTGATCAATCCAGGGATATTAGGGGTGATATTTTCAGATAATTTACTTGATTGGTATTGATGATTCTGCCTTGATGTGGCAATAGCTGAAACAGCATCTCCTATAGTTACAAAAGATTCTGCTTCTGCCTCATGTATATTTTGCTGGTATAATTGGTTTTGTTGAGTCAATATTGATGTGTTAGTATCATTTATGTTTTGAGAATTTGTTAGTTTTTTATTTGGCACCCTATTATGAAATCTTTCATAGTTAGGTTCTATAAAATCAGACTGAAATGCTTCAGTCATATGAACTTCTGACATTTCATCTGTGACAGTATTATCATTCATTAATGAAGCTATAGTAGTTGGTTTTGAAGTCATAGATTTTGAAGTTTCAATATTAGATAAAGTGTGTTCAACAGCTTGTGTTATATCTGAACTAAAACCAATACATGCGTCATAATCAACTTGCATTAGAGTTTCAGAGTTCGACGAAGCTGGTTTAGCAGAAACACGAGTACTACGTTGAGGTTCTTCTAATGATTTGCTAAGGCTAGTACGACCTTGACCACGACCACGAACACGTCCTTGACCACGAACACGTCCTTGACCACGAACACGTTCTTGGACACGACCACGACCACGACCACGACCACGACCACAGCCACGACCACGACCACGGCCACGACCACGACCATAACTAGGAGGTATTTCATTGTTAGTAATTTGGATATCCATGCCACTAGAGGTTAAATCTTCACCACGCCGTTCTCGTTATTAGGTCCAAGATCATCATCTGAAGATTGTTCACGTTTAGAGGGAATTTAAAGATTCCATAGTAGCTGGTTTAGGATTTTCTACAGTATTATGAATGTGTTCTTTAGATGTAGCTTCTACAATATTAGATGTAGTTGTTGGTTGATCAAAGGTATCATGGCTGATGATTACGTTTGTATTGCCATCTATTTCAAAGTTATGTATGTTAATTCTGAAGTTTGTTATGATGTGTGTATATTTTTATTATATATCTTGTCTATTTATTAGTCCATTTTTACCTGTTAAATTGTTCTTTAAAAAGTGATTGGTATCATTCATATTAAAAAAAGGATTATGGATTTGATCACGTAAAAGATAGTTTGTAGAAAATTGTTTCACATTCTCTTCAGTATTTGTAAGATCTAAAATAAGATTAATTATATTATACAGTTATGTTTTATTTTTTTTTTTTTTTTATTTTCTTTACCAATTAACTCATTGTTATTCATGTTTGAATATATATTTCAACAATGTAGATATGTAAATAGGTTGATTCCTTTAAGCAGTGATTTTTATATGAACCTGCAAGAATGAATAAAAAAAAAATAAATAAGATAAAAAATAAATAAGATAAAATAAAAATAAAATAAAAATAAAAATAAAAAGGAGAACAAGACTAGTAGTTAAATTATTTATAAAAACACGTCTTAATATATTTTATCATTTGTCACATGATAATTATAATGTTGCTAGTTATGTCTATTATAAAGTATTTGTTAATAGTTTCTACATGTTTAACAACATCGTATATACATGCAAAAGAGCATGTATAGACCCTAATAACATAAATAGGTATATATTGGAGTCATGATTGTTAAGGGAAAGAACAGAAATAATTAGTCAACATCTACACTGCTTTGTTAGGCTAGTTTGAATATTAGTGTAAGAATAGAATAAGCGTACAAAGACGAGTACGCTTCAGAGAATCACTAAACAATTTGCTTTATGTTAACAGAATAAAGAGATAATGGAATCTTGTTAACTTTTGAAATAACAGCAAATACTAGTAGTTGATGACTAAGAATTCAGTTTCTATGATAATGTAATTATGTTTCCTTGATAATACAAAGTCGAAATGATTATCCTTTATATAGCTAAATAAATAGAGGTTTTATTTTACAACATACAAGTATTATCCTACACAAGTGAATTCAAAGTAACACCTTCTATTCTCTTCTTACAGGATATACAAAACATATTTATACATATAATTAATATCTTTATTTCGTTAGAAAGAAAAAGATCAAGCTTTGATGGACAAAAAGTTTACACAGACAGACCTTAAAGCATGATGAAGAGCACCGCTATTCTCCCTCCTCATAGAGAAGAAAGATCCACCTGTCGAATGTCAACATCAGAAAACTGTTTCCATCGTCTATTCTCTTGTTTGCGGAAATCTTGATAAAGTAGTTGTCATAGTTTGACTGTATAAATTGGTTTTTTGAGACTTGTTTATCAAACATTTTATAATAAAAAAGCACACTCATTATTTTAAGATATTTATATTAAAATAAAAATAAAAATTGACAACATTTTTTAATGACAATAAGTATTGATTGTTGTTGTTATTAATAGTAGTAATCCACCGGTACTAGTGACGACACTTTTTATTAAAATACTAACAGAATAAATTCTAGATAAGCTTGAATTGTAAGAGTGTGATAAACCAGATGCATATATTCTTTTGTGCTATGTTTACTAGTAGTAGAGAATTATACATATTTGTATTTTGAAGATGTGTTGTATAATTTTTATTAAAGCTATGATATTCTTTAGCAGAATAGTGAGGTGGTAATGATGAAATTTCCTTTTTTTTTTTTTTTTCGTAAATGACAAAATAAATGCTGCGATCTATATCTTTTATAACTCTAATAAAGACTTATTATTACTTGTATCAATATGACTGTGAAACAAAAAAAAAAATAACTAAAAACTCACTAACAAAAATAAAATGACTAAAATGTAACTATTATATGTATTAAACATTGGTATTGTATTATTCGATATATTATTTTATACGCATTAAAACAAGATTATACTTCTTGTCTATCATAATTACTATCATTTTCCTGTGGTAATAGGCTGGGGTATAACTTGAGTACGCTGAATAGCTGCTTGACCACGTAGGCTATTTTTTGCATTCAAATAATCAAGGGCCTCATCATCAACTAAATCTCCTAATCCAATCAATACAGCCAAGTGATGACCTGTATAGCAATCCACAATGGAAACATCAGCACCATTTTGTAGTAAAAACTCAGCCATTATAAATTGTCGAGGTTGAGCTACTTCTTCTGAAAGACTATAGATACTACTGTTGCGACTGTTAACACTCTGAGAACTACCTTCGCTACTACTACTACTACTACTACTACTACTACTATGATAGCTACTACAGCTTTGGTATCTAGAATGATGCTTATTAGGTGGACTTGAAATAACTTCTTGAGGTTCATTCTTAAGACGATTGTCTATAGTCGTATCCTTCATTTGATGTATTGTGTATTTATTTTCATCACTGCTGATGATTTCCTCATCTGATAATTCTGAACAATATTCCATTATTGAATGATGTCGTGAAATCAAGGCTAAATGCAAAGCATATCGTACAATAAATTTGTTTTTATATGCTTGTTCAAGAGGTGGGTATTGGAGTGGACAGGTTACTATTATGTTATTTTTTGAAATCTGATTTCCATGACGATCCAGGTAGGGTATTTCAAGTATTTCTCGTTCTTCTTCTTTGTTTAAATCAACTAATGGTATGATTGACCGATTATTATGATCATTTTGAAAGAATGGTTTGTTTACATCAGCACCTAGAGCAATAGCATGCATAGCTTGTGGAATGTCATTGTTTTCGATAGCAGTGTATAATAGATTCATGGAATCAATCGATCTATCGTTCTTACATTTCACAAATGCTCGTTCAATGTATTTAGCTTGAATAAATTTAAGCTTAGTTTCTCTTGAGTCACTGGGTATAGGTTTCTTTATGTTCATCGACGTTATATGTTCATTAGACAGTAATTCAGATTCCCATATTTCATTTGCTTTTCGATTACCCATTGACATTAATACTTGAACAATTTCAGGGGTAAAAGAGGAACTGTCTAAAATTAAGGACCTAACTTTAGAAATATGTGTACCTAAACTACGATGAATACCAGAGCATTCTAACATGTATATATACAAATATATATATGAATATACAAATAAATAATGACAGTTTCAATTTACTATAAAATGATGGCCCCCCTTTTTTTTTCTTTACCTATACACAAAAGAATACCAAGGTTCAATGAACACCATTCAGGACTCTTGGCTGAACAATCAGCGCAAATCATATTTGATTCATCTTTTCTTAATTCTTTCAATAATTTAAGCCCTTCTTCCTTCTCCTTTTCCAAAGTAAGATTAGTTGGATTTTGTGATGAACTTGGCGTTGATTTATTATAATTATAATTATAATTGCTATTATTTTTCATATTTCGTTTCTTCTTCTTCTTCAAATACTTTTCTTTTGCAGCCGCTAATCCACTCAAAGCTCCTGATAAAGATCTTGACTGTAGCCATGAACTTGAAATTGACTTTTTTGTCATTTTTTCATTACACAAATCTAGAGCACTAGCTGAACCATTTAATAAGTCTATGATAGCATTATTGATAGTCGCAAGCCATTCAGATAACTCTTCATTTGATGTTGCTTGATACATACGTCGAAATTTGGGAGTAATGACCTCAAAACAGAAACGACGTTCAGCATCTCTGGCTTCCCTAATTGTAGCAAAGCGTAAATTGATGGGTTCCAATATGCTGTTCAAGTTGTTTTTTCCAATTGACATATTCATGAAGTTGACCACCGCTTACTACACACCAATACCTTTCAGAAAGAAAGAATCACAAGTATAAAAGAGTAAGAGTAAAAGTAAAAAGTAAATTAGATTAGATGTATAAAACTTACTTGTGCCAATGAATATTCGAAGATACATCAAATGAATTCATGTTTCTAGATGGCTTTGATGGTGCGAATAAGAAACCTTCCTTTTTATGTCCCATTGTAGCAGCTAAACGATGATTTTGTTGTTCCATATCACGGATCCCTTTAAATTTAGAAGTTCGACTCTTGTTAGCATCAAGACCTTCGAGAGGTGATATATCATTCTCATTTAGTAAAGGAGGTGGTGGTGGTGGTGATAAGGCTATATCAGTTGATATACTATGACGACCATGAAAAGAGTTTTTCCTTTCTAAAGTCTTATTCAAGGTTACTGACGTATTTTCAGTAATTGTAGGTGAGGATATGTATTTTGAAATCAATATCTTTCTCTTTTCATCACGTTCCTGAGATACGACTTTTTGTTCTTTAGATGCTTCAACTACTTTATTAGCAATTTCTTCAAGACCGAATTTGTAAGGTTCTAAAATCTTTGTGACAGAATGAAATAAGCATATTGTTTTTCATAATGGTTAAGTAAATGATAAAGGATCTCTTGTTCCTTTTTACCACCATGAAGGTCCTGTAGAAATGAATAATATTCAAAACGAACGATATCGAAATGTCTCTTTTTAAGCATAAATTCAGATTCGGCTTTTAACTTTCTTTTCTCTATAACTTATATGCTTATAAGCATGTCATGAATGCATATATTAATTTTTTCTTTTTTTTTTTTTTTTTTTTTTTTTATATTTGTATACAAAACTAACTAATTTGTACCTGAATTAGAAGAAGTTGTCTTTATACTTAAATACTTTGATAAATTTGAATAATATTCTTTACTAACATCCTCAAATTGACGTCGTTTAGCTTCAGCTGTCTTGATATCAAAATCATATAATTTTTGTAGAGGAGATATTAACAAATTTTGCATACAAAACGTAAGTCTCTCTTGTTGTTCATTCAGTTTATCCCAGATATGGTCCAAGTAATGTGTAAAGAGTGGTTCTGAAAAGGAGGCCTCCCTTAAGGTTTCCATAAATCTTTTATCCTCTTCCAGTACAAGACACTTGGCATCAAAGGAGGCTGTTGCAGCTTTTAAAATTTGTTTAAGTTGATGTCTTAGTGTACTTGTTTTCCCTTCATACTCTTTTAACGTAGCTCTAAAGAGGGGTCCATCTTCAAGATCGACTTCAAGAGAGCATCGAAAGGGTGAATGTTGATGGTCATTACTTTTTCTACTAGATGATTTTTCTAGATCGACAGAGGACGAAACTATACTTTCCGTCATAGGTTCGTTCATTAATAATAATTAATGGTTGTGAGGACACTAATGAAAATGAAAAGAAAAAGAAAAAAAAAAATAAATAAATAAAGAAGAAAATGCAATTTTATTATCATTATTACTGTTGTTTTTAATTTAAACTCAGTAAAATTCAGATTTTTTCTATTGTAATGAAATGAAAAAAATCTTTATGATGAAAAAAAAAAAAAAAAAAAAAAAAAAAAAAAGAGAGAGAGACACAGAGAGAGAGAGAGAGAGACATTATTATGATTATGTGGATTTAACTACAATAAAAAAGAGAAGAAGAAAAAGAAGAGAAACATGCATGCATGCATGTATGCATGCGTGTATCAATCTATGATAAAAAAAATGGCTTTTTTTGACTAAAGTTTTACTTTAAAGTTTCCTATTAACTAATGAAATTTAAATACTTGTTATTATCGACGAATCATGGACATCTATAGTTTTTCTCTTTATTTCATGCGCTTAATCTTGTTTTAATATGTGCTTATTTTGACATTCTTTCCTATGACACACACATCTACTGGATATGAATAAAATCAAGTTTAAATGTATAGTCTATCATAATAAAAATGAGTAGCAGGTTTAGCATACAAGTAATAATGTGTTTCATAATAAATCATCCTTTATTCATTTATATTCTAAATATGTATTATTATTATCATCATCATCAGCTTTAATTCTCATTTACAATTTGAATGACTAAATCTCCTGAACTCAATGAATCTCCTGATTGAGCTACAACACGATCAACTCTACCAGGAATAGGTGCAGTGACAACGGTTTCCATCTTCATGGCACTCAACACAGCAATTTGATCTCCTGCCTTGACATTTGTCCTGCCTTGACTTTTACTTCAATCACAACACCTGACATGGGGCAGCCACATCACCAGGTTACTAGGATTTGCTTTTTCTCGTGTGACAACCTCCACAGCTAAAAATTCAAATAATAAAATAAATATGCATATACGAATATACTAATACATATAAATGTGTATTTGTTTAATACTTGCCTGCATTTCTATCAGCAATACCAACTACACGAGCTTCACCATTCAGTTCAAAGTAAACATCACGTTTACCATTATTGTTAAGAGGACCTACGGCTAATAACTTGATAATCAAGGTCTTGCCTTCTTCAATCTCTACATGGAATTCTTCACCAATTTCAGGTTTTGATAAAAAGTAACGTGTGGGGACAACTGAGAGATCACCATATTGGCTCACTGTATCACGGTAATCAGCAAAGACTTGAGGATAGAGAGCAGCAGAGATGACATCATAATCTCGAATGGAGGATCCATATTTCTTTGTCAGTTCTTCTTTTAGTTTTCCTAAATCAAGAGGTTCAAGGGAGGCACCAGGACGTCCATCTAGACGAGGTAAACCCTTGATGATATTGGAACGTAAGGGCTCGGGGAAACCACCATAGGGTTGACCTAAATAACCTTGGAAGAATTCAACAACAGAGGTAGGGAAGGATAAGGTGGCAGCACGTTCTTCAACGTCTTGACCGCTTAATCCATTAGATACCATAAATTGAGCTAAATCACCTACGACCTTGGAGGAAGGTGTGACCTTGACGAGATCACCACATAATTTATTGGCTTCAGCGTATGCCTTCTTGATTTGAACCCATTGAGAACCTAAGCCTAGTTGTTGTGATTGGAACATGAGATTCGTATATTGACCACCTGGCATTTCGTGATCATAGACACCAGAGTCAGCTGATTTGACATTCGCCTCAAAGCAAGAGTAAAGAAGACGCGCTTGCTCCCAATAGGTATTAAGGGCATGTATATGAGTAAGGTCAATACCCGTATGTAAATCAGATTGTTCAAGGGCAGCTACAATCGCACCCATAGCAGGTTGTGAGGTCATACCGGACATGGAATCAATTGCAGCGTCTACGATATCTGCACCAGCAAGGCTTGCAGCTATCATAGAGGCAACACCCGTACCAGCGGTATCATGTGTATGAACATGAATGGGCAAATCAGGGAATCTCTCACGTAGAGCCTCTATCAACATCTTGGCTGCCTTGGGTTTCAAAAGACCAGCCATATCCTTAATACCCAAGATATGAATTCCTTCATTCACTAATTGTTGAGCCAAGTCCAAATAATAGTCAAGTGTGTACTTTCTCTTGTTAGGGTTAGAGACATCACCGGTATAACAAAGGGTAGCCTCTACGACACCACCTGCTTTCTTAACTGCATCAATACCTAATTTCATATTTCGACATAGTTGAGTGAATCAAAGACTCTAAAGATATCCATACCGGCTTTCACCGCCTTATCACAGAATTCATAAATGACATTGTCTGGATAAGAGGTATAGCCGACCGCATTCGCACCTCTCAAGAGCATTTGGAAAGGGATATTAGGTACAGCTTTACGTAATTTCATTAAACGATCCCAGGGGTCCTCATGTAAGAATCGCATCGAGACATCAAAGGTAGCACCACCCCAACATTCAAGAGCGAATGCATTAGCAAGGGCATGTGCTGTAGTAGGAGCGACACGTAATAAATCCAGAGTACGAACACGAGTGGCCAAGAGACTTTGATGAGCATCACGCCAGGTGGTATCCATGATTAAAGTACCAGGATGTTCTCGAATTGCCTTTGCAAAGCCTTCAGGACCCTTTTCTAATAAAACTTGACGCCAACCGTTAGAGGGGAGGGTACGGGATACGTCTATTTTATTGCCCATGTCATCCAACAGGCCGGGTACTTCAATTTCTTGCTTATAGGTGGGTTCACCTACTTGACCCTTAATCTGTGAACCATTCACGACCACGTCACCCAAATAACCCAACATACGTTGAGCACGATTTTGATATTGAACCAATTCAAAGAGATCAGGTGTATCATCAATGAAGGTAGTCCAACAGGTACCTGTGATAAAGGTTGGATAAGTGACTAAACGTTGTAGGAAAGGAATATTGGTCTTGACACCACGAATACGGAATTCAACAAGTGCTCTAACGATCTTTCGACGAGCTACTTCAAATGTAGAACCAGTACAGGTTACCTTCACTAAAAGTGAATCATAATGAGGAGTGATGACAGCACCTGCAAAGCCAGCACCGCCATCGAGACGAACACCATTACCACCCGATGAACGATAGACTTCAATTTTACCGGTATCCGGTTGGAAGCCCTTTTCAGGATCTTCAGTAGTCACACGACATTGAATCGCGTATCCACGTTGACGGATACGTTGTTGAGTGAGACCTAATTGAGGGAGAAGAGCACCTGCAGCAATTTGAATCTGAGCAGCGACAATATCGATACCCGTAATCTCTTCAGTGATCGTATGCTCAACTTGAATACGAGGATTAATTTCAATAAAATAGTGTCGATTCTGGTTATCAACCAAGAATTCAGCAGTACCCGCATTCTTATACTTGACGGCCTTAGCGATCTTGATGGCATCATTCAAGATCGCTTCACGAACCTTGGGATCCAAATTTTTAGCAGGAGCGATCTCTACTACCTTTTGATGACGACGTTGAACAGAGCAATCACGTTCAAAGAGATGAACGACATTACCAGCACGATCAGCTAATAATTGAACTTCGATATGACGTGGTTTATCCAAGAAGCGTTCGATAAAGACAGTACCATCGCCAAAAGCAGAGAGTGCTTCTGATTTAGCACGATTGAAGGCTTCCTCAAAGGTAGAAGGGTCACGAACAACACGCATACCACGACCACCACCACCCATAGCGGCTTTAATAATAATAGGAAAACCATAATCATCAATAAATTGTTTCGCTTCTTCATAGGTACTGACAGGACCGGGTGTACCAGGTACGACGGGAACACCACATTCGATAGCTTAAAAATAAAATGAAATGAAATAAAATAGACAATTTATAAGTTGCTATTCACATATACATGTTTGTGTGTATATGCATGTATTTAAATATGTATGTATATACATATATATTTATATATATATATTACCTATAGTTCTAGCTTTTGTCTTATCACCCAAGCTATCAATGACATCAGGAGAAGGACCAATAAAAGTAATACCAGCAGCCTCGACTTTACGAGCAAATTCAGCATTTTCAGACAAAAAGCCATAACCTGGATGAATCATGGATACACCACGTTCTTTTGCAATACGAACAATTTCATCTTGAGCCAAATAAGCTCCTACAGGAGAATATTGACCTACTTGACCAATTTGATATGATTCATCGGCCTAACAAAAAAAAAAAAAAAAAAAAAAAAATTAATTTCTTTCTCCTCTCTAGGGTGTATGATTATTTCTGAGTCATTTTTATATATACATACTTTATAGCGATGCATAGATAATCTATCTTCATAAAAAGATGGCTACTGTTCTCATAGATAATTCATGGGCTGTTCTAAAACAACGAATAGCGATTTCCTAATACCAAACTTATAACTTTACTTTAGTTTTGTTATTGTATTTACTTTTATAATTCCTTCTTTTTTTTTTTTTGTGAATATTTACACCGCGATTGGCAACCATTAGTTTACGAAGGTTTCCCATAACTTCACTATTTCTGCGAATTGTTTCAACAGAATGTTCACGTGCAGGCACCTGCAAGCTCAATGATTGTGACATTTGAATGACTATAAAATGAACATTTTTTTTCCCAATGTTAAATGAATGAAATTTATACTTTTAATGTTTAAATATTTTACCTTTTCTTTTTTTTTATATATTTATAAAAAAAAATAAAATAAAATAGATAAATAAATAAATAAATGAAAATAAAATTAGAAATAAAAGAAAAAAAAAAAGTTGAGTTAATAGTACGTAACTTTTAAGGTTTTGATTTTAATTTGTCAAAAATAAAAGTTAAAATACAGACAAAAAAAAAAAAAAAAAAAAAAAAAAAAGGGTTTTAACGTTACACATACGATTGATTGTATAATCACATTAATTGTAACACATTTGCTTAATTGAATTCAACTCATTGTTACGACATGAGTATAATTAACCATCCAATGTCATTTAATGTAGACAAAAAAAAAAAAAAAAAAGGGGGAGGCTATTATTGTAAACTATATTCTTATTTTATTTGATAGTTTATTGTACCATAAACACTTTTTATATAATACACACGTACACGTACACTTACACGTACACGTACACATGCATATACACTTATATTAGCTCGTTAATAAAAAGTTTATTGAGGAGGTGGTGGCATGTAGGGTCCTTGCTGAGGTGGTAAAGTAGAATAGTTTTGAGATTGGATATAAATGGGTTGATTTCTTCTAGTTGAAGGACGTGTTAACATGAGATAGAAAGCATGAATATGACCTAAGTAGAATAATGATGAATAATACTATAAATAAAGATGATAGTAAAAGCCAATTACATACCAGGAATATAACCAAGACAGGTTAACAACTATTACATAATGAGATGCATATACAACACATGTCTATTTTTGTTATAATGTAAACTTACATGTTAATACACAAGTCTGCGCCACATCCATACATTAAAAAGACACCAATTGGTGAAATAAAATAGTTAAAATATATAAACAATCTGCAAACATGATAAAGAATGAGAAAGAGAAGAAAGAGGAAAAGGTGGCAGTAAATATTTATTTATTTTATTTTATTTTAAACTCATCATTCTTCATAACCAAAAGGTAATAAAGCTTAAAGAAGATATGTAATATAAACAAAGTAAAAGGGACATAAAGCTTAAAGAAGATGTGTAATATAGACAAAGTAAAAAAGATAAAATAAGCTTTAAATCAATTATTTCCTTATTAATGTTATTATCGGTTGTATTTACATATCTTTATTATCTATCAAAAAAAAAAAAAAAAAAAATGAAAGTGACTTCTTCATCTATTTTCCTTTTAATATGTCTAGTTGTTTTATAGTTGTTTCATTTTTACATGTTATTACATAATAACACTATTATTACTACTACTATTATTACTGCTACTACCACTACCACCACTACTACTGCTACTACTGCTACTTTTTTTGTGTCACTTCATATGCATTTTTTTTTCTTTTTTTTTTTTTTTTTTTTTTTTTTTTTTCTTTCTTTTTTTTTCACTCTTATCAATTTATATACTAACTACTACTCACATATATGATCTAAATGACAATGAAACGAATATACCAACAGCAAGAACTATCGGATAATAATACAAGTAGTAGTTCTTCTGTTTCTTTAACAATATCAGAATCTACACCTTTATTAATACAAACTAATACAAACAATAAGCAACGTCATTTAACAACAAGAAAAGAATTTAAATGGCTTTTTCTTAATAGCTTACCTATTGTCGGAACTTATTTATTACAAAATTCATTTCAATTAACAAGTATTTTTACTCTTGGACATCTTGTAACGTTTATATTTATTATTTTTTTTTTGTAAAGTCTTTATTATTAAACTGATATTGTATATGCGTTTGATGATGATTAGGGTCCCGTTGAATTAGGTGCTGCAGCTTTGGCTTCTATGTTTGTGAATGTATCAGCTTGGAGTGTAGCGTATGGTATAACAACTGCACTGGATACTTTATGTAGTCAAGCATGGGACAGCTTCTCCAGATAAAACCATGATTGGCATTTATTTACAAAGAGCCTATTTAATTTTGAGTCTCGTTTATATTCCCATTGCCTGTGTTTGGTGGAGAGCAGCCTCTATCATGTTATACTTTCAACAAGACCCACAATTAGCACATTATGCAGGTGAATGATAACACCATATTCAAAATATGTATATACAGATAGATTGTATTTATCATTATTCCAATTTACAATTAGGCTTGTTTTTACGTTATTTATTACCAGGGGCACCTGCTTATATGGCATTTGAGGCTACAAAACGATATCTTCAAGCACAAGGCATTATGCATGCTTCTACTTTTGCCATGATGATTGCTGCACCTCTTAATTTTATCCTCAATATCTGGTTTGTCTCTCTATGGGGGTTTTTAGGTGCTCCATTAGCGACCTCCTTTAGTTATTGGCTCATGTTTATCTTCCTTTTGATCTATATTCAATATGTTCAAGGAAGTGAAGGTTGGGGTGGTTGGACTCGAGCTTGTCTTTCTGGCTGGCTCCCATTTCTGAAACTTGCCCTTCATGGTATCATCATCATTTGTGCAGAATGGACTGCGTTTGAGATTTCATCATTAGCCGCGAGTTATTTGGGTTCGATTGATTTAGCTGCTCAGAGTGTTTTATTAACCATTAGCTCCACCACGTATGCAGTCTCTATGGGTATCTCAGTTGCAACCACAAATCGGGTAGGGAACCAGTTGGGAGCTCAGAGAGGGGATAATGCGAGTCGTTCCTCTTTCACAGCTCTTATAGTAGCTGCTCTATCTGGGATCATCCATTCAATCTTCTATTTAGGTTCTAGACGATGGTTAGGCCGACTCTTTAGTTCAAATACAGATGTTGTAGACAAGGTAGCAGCTGTCTTGCCACTTGTAGCATTCTTCCAAGTAGCCGATGGGATTGCATCCGTTGGAGGAGGTATCATACGAGGCCTTGGACGGACCCATGTGGCAGCTTGGATTAATTTGGTTGCTTATTATGGTGTTGCATTACCCTTTGGTTTCCTTGCAACCTTTAAATGGGGTTGGCAATTGATCGGTCTTTGGATAGGCTTATCTATTGCTCTCTTCTTGGTCGCTCTATCTGAAATAGTGTATTTATATTCTGTTGATTGGAAAATTGAAGTAAAACGAGCGCAGGAACGCTGTAAGCAAGGTTAAGATAATTGATATGAAATGTATGTGCGTAGATGATGTCCTTCCAAGAAAGAAAGAAAGAAAAAAGGGAGGGGAGAATTTTATCAAGTTTCTTTGATAACTTGTTAATATATATATGCATACATGTATAATATATCGATTCTTTTTATTAATAAACTATTGTTATGTACACTACTTTTAATCTTTAGACTTTCTTAAAGATATTCATAGCCAAACCAAGATTTTGTATACAGAGTCAAATTTTAGAGTAATAATAAATTTTGGAAATAATAATAATCATTACATCATTTTTTTTTTTTTTTTTTTTTTTTTTTTTTTTTTGGCTTTCTTCTTTATCATGTTTACTACAGCCACAATTCGTAAAAGTAATCGACTTTTAAACAAACCTCCTATTCAATATAAAGAAAAGAAAATAGTAACACTTAAAAAGATGTAAGTGTTGAATAGTGGATATTAATCATAATTATTCTCCTCCTCCCATTTTTTATTTATTTATTTATTTGCGTAGTAATAAAAAATCTTCTACTGTCAGCAGAAAGGTATACTAAACAAGACTTTAACATGTCTTTTTTTTTTTTTTTTTCTATTCATTCATTATAAATGTATATGTAATAGAATCAAAAAAAAGTAAATATAAAAACATCAAGTCATCAAATTATAACAACAAAGGTAATCAGTAATCAACCTTCTCAAATATTTGATCTTGCTGAAGAAATTCATTTAAGAAATGCAGTAGACCATTTTAAGCAACATGATGCTAAATTAGGATCTTATTTAACAGAAGAAGCCATTGAAGCCTTTAGAACAAGGCTAAGTAAGCAAAATGGCAATTTGAATCCATTCAAGTAATATTATAGAATATGTATATATTTATATGCATATATATGTGTATGTTAACCTTAGTATATACGTATATAAAATAGATGTTTAACAAAAGCTATCATTTATCAACAAATTCATGGGAAGGCAGCTTCATCTATTTATACTCGGTTTATTCATTTATTTGATAAAGAGAACAATAAAGAGGATGATTTTCCTACACCTCAAGACGTCTTGGAGAAAGCTTTTGATGAATTGAAATCTGCTGGACTGTCAAGTAGAAAGGTAACAGTCACTTACTATCTATCTATCATAGTCTTGAACTTATTTGATTTCTCACAAATGATAGGTTGAATATATCAAAAATCTAGCAGAAAAGTTTCAAGACAAGACAATTACACCTGAAAATTTTCATAAAATGACAGATCAAGAAATATCGAACCAACTATGCTCTGTAAAAGGCATAGGACAGGTACATAAGAATAATATAGACATATACACACACCATCTATTGCAATATAATAAGTGTATTTACTCATAGTGGACAGTAGACATGTTTTTAATGCTTGATTTACGACATCCAGATATATTACCCCTGGGTGATTTAGTAGTTAGAAAGGGAATTGCTGCTCATTTTGGTATTTCTGATGATGATAATGAAAAGAAAAAAACAAAATTATTACTCAATGAAAAACGCATGATTGAATTGACAGAAGTGTGGAGACCTTATCGATCTTTAGGCGCATGGCTTATGTGGAGAACAGCAAATACGAAAATAGTATAATGAAGCCTCTTTGTTATATGTATTCCATTTTTTTTTTTGGATTTTATCTCATTGTTTCATACAATGAAACATTCAATAAATAAAGGCATTCGTTCAAATATTATCATTATTATCTTCTTCTTCTTCTTTATTACAACTCTTTTTTCTCATATGGAAGAATTTATACAAATATCAGCACTTTTAGCAGAATATTTATTTGATAAATATCTATTTCCTTCGTCACCATCCAAAAATGATTTATTTAGTAAAGAACAAGAGACAAGGACAGTTCAGACATCTGTTTGGCATTACGCTTCTACAAGTCAAAGTCTACTATTTGACTTTTCTTATTGTCCTCTCTTCAGTCATCTAATAAAGCCAAAGCAGCTTATAACTGCTTGTATTCAATCTTCCTTACCCGCTCATGCTACTGTCTCTATTCAATTCTTGACTCCATTTTTAGTTGAACTCATGATCCCACCAAATCAACTCACACAGTTACATCAACAAACGTTTTCTATTCTTCAGCATAAGGGAATTCAAGTGAATGATATCTGTATCAAACCTACCTTGACATTGATGATACCATCCAATAAACGAGTAAGACATTGGCAATTGACCCTATTTGATATACCATTTGATTACTTGAAGGGCTTGAATACAAGTCAAGAAAAGGACAGAGTAAGAGATCAAGTAGCGAATGAAATAAGTTTAGCCTTCAAATTAACCAAAGGATCTGCTGCCTTCCTTATCCAACATGTCTATTTCAGTACAGAGACGAGATTAGATGACGTTCATGGATCTATCACCGTGCTTGCTGAAGAATGGGTGAATAGTAAATCCGCTTTTTCTAAGCATCCACCAAGGACACTGATTTATTTATCTTTTCTCAAAAGATATTTTCCAATCACCATTACTTTGATAGAAGAAAACAAAGTAAAACAAAGTAAAATAAAGTAAAATAAAATAAGATAAAAAAAAGATACATTTTTATCATTATACTCGCTTTCTTTCGGAATTTAAATTCATAAAGATAAAGATGACAGTTTAACTCTTTTTTTTTTTTTTTTTTTTTTTTTTTTTTTTTTTTTCTATTTCTCCCTCTTTTTTTTTTCTTTAACATTACATTGCTTTATACAGATAGACATCTATTTTTTTTTCCTTGTCTCTAGCAATGTCTAACATAATAGAATTAAAATCAAAAGTTGAAACACTTAAAGATCGACTTGATGTTCTTGTGGATGATAATAAAAATTTAGATGACGAAATTCAAATGGCACAATGTAAACTTGACAACTTGACCATGCCAAATATAAAAACACTGTTAGAGCAAGAGAAGCAAAAGCAAAAGACTTTAGAAGAAATGACGAAAAAATTAGAGCACTATTTAGAAATGACAGAGGAATTAGAGGCTAATGGAGTGTTGGATGATGATAAAACAGAAGACTTACTACGAAAAGAATTAGAAGAAAAGGAAATCATGATCAAGTCCATTCGTGAAGATCTAAACAACCGATTAAAAGAATTAGAGAGATTAAAACATTAAAAAAAAAAAAATAAGTGTAACTATTTTATGTCTAGATTTGGAAAATAGAAATAATAACATTTACATAACCAGTAATTATGATTGTTTTTTTTTTTTCCATTTTATTTTATCTTTACTTCAATTTACTTTATTTTATATCATGGTTTCAAGGTCAAAAATTGAACATATTCTATGTTTATTATTAAATGGAATAAACATCATATTTTATTTGCTTGTCATTATTGCCATTATTTTTAAATGTATTGGAGGTAATTTTGCAGATATCATTGTGGGTATATATGGCATGTAAAGTGAAGTCTATTTTATTCCTTTTTTTGGTAGACTGTTAACTCTTATTTATTATATAGTGGTATAGCTGCATTGTTAATCATTAATGAACTACAAGTCATTGAGTTTTCATACACCTATTTTTATTTTTTATCAACATACAGAGGAAGAGGATTAATAATGATATTGTAAATAGTAATTATATCAACAGAATTAATAATAGAGGTTAACTTGTTGTTTATTCTATATTGAACAAAACAATCAAAAAAAGCTTTGGCTGTTTAGTCTTAGATATAGGCATTGTTAATATTGTAGTAGGTACATTGGTATTAGCGATGGGATTACTATACATCATTATTTCCTTTTTAATCTTTCCTCCACCTAACCCAATCACTGTCAATTGGAGAAATTGGAATGATTTCAGTGCTGAAGGACTTGATTTACCTCACACAAGAAAAAGTCAACATATTGTACAACATCAAATCATAGTCAATAATAATCAAGTAGAGTGTTAAATTCTATTTAAAAAACTAAAACTAAATCTAAATTATAATACATAATAACATTATAGAGTGAAATGCATGAACGCTTAAAATCACCTCCTCCTCTTTTACACCAACACCATTTTATAGCCAGCCAATAGACCACTTATTAACCCTGACCATGCTTGAAGCTGTCCATGACAAGAGGGATGAAATATATCACAGCCTATGTAACAACACACATTTTTTTTTAAATAGATATAAATAAATAACAGCTCATCACACAGATACAAAAAAATAATCATTTTACCGCAAAATACTAAATCAGCTATTGATTTCAATACAGTTACTTTATTCATTCGATCTCGACTCCATTCTCTCATTTGTCTTTTTAGGTTAACTAGAATACTCATAAACCAACAATAGGCTGCTATTAAGGCAGCATAATGTTGTAGCCTTTTATTCCGAGGCTGGATAATACGACAAAGACAATAGATATCGTCTGCAATTGCATTCACGATACGGTTAAGGATGAATAAGTTTGTAGGTTGTCTTTGAAGAGAATGGAAATCATCTATGGCTGTCCCTAAAGATAATAATTGTCGAGTAAGAGAAAGCTGATTGGTCAAGTTGTGAATAAAGGGTCGAGGTCGATATAAAAGAATGACTTTTAAAAAATATTGAATGATCTTCATTGACTTTTCTCGTCCATCCAAGTGTTTAAGAAACTTGTCAATTAAAAGCTTTACATCATTATGTTTATTAACAGTGGGTGACTTATGAGGTTCAATCATAGTTATAAACAATTAAAAAGAGGAGGAAAAAAAAGAGAAATAGGGAAAAAAGGGGGGGGAAAAATATGTATATGAATTTATAGATTATCTAATCATCTTCTTGAAAAGCAAACGATTATCTTATTTGCTAAAAATAGTAATCTCTGTCACAATATGTAAAACCTAATCAATCTATCATATCCCATACACCACAACAAAATGAGTATAAAGTGAATAAATCTAGATATAACTGAAACACGCACACACACACACACACACACACACACAAAAAGAATAGATATCTTACCTTCACAGTCGAATAAATTCGTCTAATCATTAAATATGTACTTATAAAGCCTATCGTTCCAGTACATACACCTATCATCCCACATATCATAATTAGACGTAATACATATATAGTCATACTCATCAAGCCAGTTATATCAGATTTTAGTAATAAATAAAATAGCCCATAACCAAATAAATAAATAATAGGTGAAGCCCCAATCATAAAACAAGACCACCACCATTGATGATCCTAAAATACAAATTAGTAAAAAAATTAGCTTTGTCTTGTCTTTACTTTTTTTTTTCTTCTGGCTTTACCTCTGAACATAACTGTAAAAAGATAAATATAACTGTTATCTCTGATACAGCAATTATCATTAAGATAGAATTCCATATAGTATCTTCTATTGACATTGCAAATTCTCCTCTTGTTATGGATACAAGGAAATTATGCCAATTTAGAAATATAATAGAGAATGGGATAATACCACCTAATATCGCTCTAATTATATTTAATTGATACCAATTCTTACTAGGTATAAGGCGTGGTATCTGTGTAATTCGTGAGGGTTGTTCAATACGATCCGCTTTTTCACCAAAATAGGCTCCTAAATAGGTTAAGGGCAATAGACAAAAAAACCAAACTGAAAGCAGAGATAGCCAACCTGATAATGAAATAGCTAAAGAAGATTTATGTGTCCATGCTATCATACTGTATATAAATAAAATGAAAACTAAACAACTTGGAACTATGCATGCTGTCTATATGAAAAAAAAAAGATGTAAATACATTCATATAAATATTATAAATTGCATAATGCCTACTACTTTACAAGAATACTATTTAATACCCAAGATTTACCACGAAATACTTTATACATTCTAGCACTCCAATAACTACCAGGCACACTATATAAATTCCAAGTATAAATAAGAAGAGAAAAAAAAGAGGGAGGGGAAATAGATATATACATGTATATATATTGATTGCAATGCTCTGTGTATATACCTTCCCAGTAAAAATAATAATGTAAACCAACGAGTCAATGAACCTGGCTGAACAGGATTGCACCAATTCATCTTCAATGCGCCTATTTCATAACACCATAAGTTTGATTATATGTTATAATAATTGCATCTACTTTACATATTAAACCACTAAATACAAATATCAATTGAATACCAGTTCCCATGAATGGAGTTAATAATCCACCATAAACAGGGCGTCTAAATACATCTCTATGGATCAATTTCCATCCTGTAAAATCTTCTGTATTATCATCATAAATCTATTTTTAGTAGAGAGTCAATATTCGTGTTTAGGTGTATTTTTTTTTTTGTATTCTATTTCATATATAAACCTTAATATCTTCACTATTGCTATTGTTATTAGGCATTGTCTTGAATAAGATGAATCCAATGATGATACATAATACACTATCAACAGTCAGTCCATTCCAGAAACTATATCCGACAGGATGTGGTATAATATAATTCTGCCAACGTTTAGCATTCTTTACTTGCTTCCATTTTACAGAATAAGTAAATATGACTTGTCCTCTTCTACCTGTTACTTCTTGATGTTCATAATCTACTGAATTTTTCATACAGTCTCCTTCTGCAATTCTATATTATAAACAATTTAATTAAAATAATTGAAGGAGAGGAAAAAAAAAAGGATAACTTACGAGTCAGGATAAACTTCGAAGCCTGTAATATCGCCTTTCTCGGTATAAAGTACTTGAAAAATGACATGATTATTGATATATGTGTTCTCTCCCTACATACTCATATAAAAAAAAAAAAAATTAAGGAACAGCCATAATGTGACACTTTTTTTTTCTATTACCTTTTTAAAACCCAATGGAAATCCAATTCGATAATTATGTTCAGGGGCTTCATTTGTATAAGAAACAGTTGAACCAATTAAACCATCTAATATCCTAAATGAATTAACATGAGCAAATAATGCCTCTCTTTTTTTTTAAAAAAAAATATTGATATACCATTCTACTTGATAATTATTTGAAATTAAATCGCTTACTTGAATAGCATCTTCAACACTCCAAGCTTTTTTACAAAGTAATTTACATTCTTGATCTTTTAAAAAGTTAATCTACACATGGAAAAAAAAAATTAACTACTCGAAACTTTAACAACTTGCAATATTTACTTTATAATCGCTTGGAATGAGTCGATCGCCTCGAATATCCTCATCAAAGATCAATAAGCTTTTTTTTCGTGATGTGTGTGAAGGTGGACATATAAAAGAAAGTGACGCATAATCATAGGTTAATTGACTCTTTATAGAAAACAGTTTATTGTAATAAAGAGTTATTTGATCGCCTGATTTATAACATTGAGCTTTTTGAAATAATAATAAAAACAAAAGGAATAGGAATTTCCTTGTCATTTTTTTTTTTTAAAAAAAAGAAAATAAAATAAAAAAATACAAAAAAAAGTAATAATAGAAATAGGCTTTTCACTTTGAATTTAGATAGTGTCAGTTTTTTTTTTTGGTACGAAAAAAAAAAAAAAATCAAATTCGGATTTTATGCTTACCTTTTCTGGAAGAAACGAGAATAGAATTCAGATTAGTTTTGGACAAATTAAAAGTTATATTAGATTTTTTACTTGTAATAATCTGAATCCCCAGAAGAGAAACCATATTTGTTATAGCGATACTTTATATCTGTTTAGTTTCTACCGAAAATGGGAAGCCTACCATTACCTTTCCAAGCCGACAAACTTATCTTCATTCTATTTCTTGCTGTGTTTACGTCGCGCTGCCAAAGTAGATGACTCATTTTACAAAGAAGTGCAACATAGCCTTTAACGTGAGCAACTTTCTCCAAACTATCTGTTCCGCTTCTACTGTAAATACGAGGAATTCATCATCTCGTCCACAGGAATTACCAGCATCTTCTCGTCTCTTCAAGTATCTCCACATTATGCCAACTATTTCTCGACAAAGGCCTTTTCAGCTTTACCGAGTTTTTTTTTTATGATAGAGATAAGAAAAAAAAAACCCACTTAATATGCCTCATTATTTAAATTAGTCTAAAAGTATTATACAAATATGTCGCATAAATAGTGTTCAATGTTTTATACTTGTTGCCTTATTGAAAAAAAGAAAGAAAAAAAAAAGCTCACGACAGCGCATAGTAACTTGGAATCATTCTTTATATAAACTTAGTTCCCTTTTAGATCAAACTAAACAAGTAATACATGAATATATTATATTCAAGTATTTTATGTGTGAATCAAACATCACTAGGGAAAAGAGAAACAATGTTGTTTTGTTTATTTCATTACTTTGTCTGAAAATTTTTTTATTTTTTTTTTTTTTTTTTTTTTTTCGTCTTTTTCTCTCCTTTTTTTTTTTTTTTTCTTGCCAACATATCATAATTGTATTAAAATATGACTAGAAGAAAAATCACCAAGATCCCAACATTTTAGAGAAATCAACTATGGAAAAAGAAGTTGCACTTGCATCTATGAAGCAGATCATAACAGAGATATTTATAGATGCCCAAAAATCCGATACTATGCTACGTAGTCTGTCGATCCGTTTACGAGATGTTCAATTAGGTTGTTGCTTAAATTCACCAAAAATGATGGGTCAGCCTGAAGACATTAACTTTGAAGGTGAAGCCGACTTCATCAAATATATCTTTAAAATGGTTAATGTTGTCATCAAAGCAAAAAGAAAAGATCCTATAGCTGATCGCGTACAAAGATTTATTGCTGGATTTATACATTATATTCAAACTAAAGGTATTATACTAGCCGATTAATAATATACAAGAAAGAAATTGTAAATATTGACACTATTATATTCATATGCATATATATCTAAATTTTAAGATGAGGAGGCTAAAACAAAAGCAAAGGCAAAAAGAAAATCAGAACAAGAACAGATGGATAAAATGGATCATGATCATCCAGAAGAGAACAATAACAGCGAGCAATCAGTTAATAATGACAATGAAGATGATGACGAAGATGAAGAATATGAAACAATCTCTTCTAGATTTGTTGAAAGTTTAATTCGACATTTGTTTCGCGGATTTTCAGATTCAAAAACATCGATTCGAATTAGATGTTATCAAATTATTGCTCTTTGTATTAGTTCAATGGGTGAACTTGATGAAGATTTGTATCAAGATTTAAAGAAGCATTTATTTGAAGGATATGTTGATAAAGAAGCAAGTGTCAGAGCTCAAGCTGCAACAGCATTATGCCGTTTACAAACAGACACAGAAGTTAATCGTTCAGATGGACAAACGATTCGTGATAAACTTTTATGGAGCATGAGTCACGATTCTAACTTGTAAGTTGTTGTTATTGTTTCTAGTTTCTACTACATTATGTCTATATGTATTATTCATTCAATATGCATACATATCTATTTTTTTTTGTATTATAGTGAAGTAAGACGTATTATTTATATAATATCGATGTGACGCAACAAACACTGCCTTATATTATTGAGAGTATACGCGATCCAGATGATATTAACCGAAGAGTTGTATATATTTAAAGCCTTTATCAGAAATTAATGATTTTAGAATATTAAGCTTTGATCAGCGCAATAAAATATTAAAATGGGGATTAAATGATAGAAATGAACAAGTTCGAAATTCAGCTCTAAAGATGTTTGCAGAAAAGTGGCTTGAACAAGCTGGAAACAATCTTATTGAATTTCTAGAAAGATTACAAGCTACAAAGCAACCAGCAACAGTATTAGTAGATAAATTACTAAAGGCCTTTTTTAAGCAAAGAATCGAAGTATTTAATGATATTGTTTTGATGGTATGATACATAAAGATTTGAATATTCTCCTTCTGTCTTTATAGACACAAAATAATAATAATAATTATTATTATTTCTTACTTTAGAGGAATTCTGGAATAATCTTTCACCGGAAAGCGCCTTGTTTGGCAAAAATAGCTATAGAATTTTTACAGACTAATAATCTTGACGAACAATTGGAAGCTACCTTGCCTGAAGTTACACGCCATGTCTTTAATTTGGAAAATTATTTTAATCTTTATCGTATCTCAATTGAACAAGGAGATTCAGTGGCAACTTATGAATTTATTTTAATACAGTTACTTGATATAGCATTATGCTTGGATTATGCTGATGAAGTAGGAAGAAGGAATATGCACGAACTTTTAAGAAATATTTTAAAAATGCATGAATTAATTGATGACCATCTTGAAAGGGTATTGAAGGTTTTCAGGATGATTTCGATTGATGAACGTGACTTTACAAGGTAATCTACATTGACACATTTGTTGTAGTCGAAAGAAACTGTTAAAATTAAAGCATTTATTCCCTTTTTTTTAAGATCTATCATTGAAGTTATTTCAGATATTCAAGAGGAGGCCCTAGACCCATTTTTAGATTTAGATGAGGATGAAAACAATAAACCAAAAAGAATCAAAAAACAGTGAAAACTTGGTAGCAGTTAAGCGATCTTCACAACAAGATACTGACCAAAATACATCTGTAGATGAAGAAACAGGTGGCGATCTTGATAATTTAGTGATGCAGTTCCGTTGTTTAAATATTTGTAAAAGAATGTTAGAGAATAGTTATGAAGTAAGGCTATTTATAAGGGGGGGAGGGAGGGTCTATTATATTCTATACTAAATTGTCTAAACTTTGTAGCCATTAGCAGATATTCTAATCTTTATGGTTTATTAAATGACCTTATTGTACCAGCAGTTCAGAGTTCTGATCCTTTGTTACGTCAAGAAGGTTTACATTGTCTTGGTTTATGTTGTATGCTTGATAAAAGGCTTGCACAGCATAACATTGATTTATTTGTTACATGTATTAAACTTGGTCATGAAGATCTAGTTAAAATTGCAATTAGAGTAAGAGATAATTAGCAATATAAAAACGAGGAAACAAAGAAAATCAACCTTTATTTCTATATAGATCTTAGGTGATATTCTCTTAATGTATGGAGCAGACTATATTTCAGATCGTTTAACTAGTGTAAATATCTATTTAAAAGGAATACTGTACATGAATTCTAATATTTATATACACTATGCATTATTAGCCGGATGATGTTAGACAAGTTTTCGAGTTTGGTTTAGACCACGATAACACAGAGATTCAATCACTGACTACACAAGCCTTATGCAAATTAATGTTGTTTAATAGATATGGTGATGATGAGGTACATACATATAAAAATACCATTCTACGTATACTCATCTTTATATACATGTATATACATATATATTAGTTGCTTAGGCTCATGGTTCTTTTATACTTTTTCCCTAAAACTGTGATAAATGATTTTAACAATACAATTCATCAATGTTTAGCCTATTTTTTCCCTGCTTCTGCTACTCTTCTGTAAAACATCAAAAGTCTTATCTACTATAGCTATCCCAGCATTAGAAGAGCTTTGCAATATTTATGGTGATTTAGAAAAAGATGAAACAATGACTAACCCCAAACAAATTTCAGAAATGCTAGCTGATTTAAGTGATCCACGTAAATTAGTCAAAAAGTACGTACAAATGAATACTGAAAAGAAAAAAGAAAAATAAGTTAAATATCATTCCTTTTTTTTATTTTTATTTTTTACCTTCAGGACAAACCCAAAACAGCCTTCATTTATGGATGATGAAGAAAAAGAAGCTGGATTTGATACCCCTGGCGAACTTGCCATTCAAGCACTTCAAATAATTTTAGGAGAAAATGAAGGGTTAAAGAGAAGAACAATGTGTCATTTTGTACTAAAATTATACTTGGATAAAGCTGAAAAGGAACAATTAATAGAGATTCAGGATTTGATAAAGCAGATTAATGAGGTAAGAAAAATACATTTATAGTATCAACCTGAATCAGAAATTGATAATATTTGTATTCATGTGTATATATTTTAGAAAAATCCTATCAAGTTACTTCCTACTCGAAAAGCGATTATGAAGATATCTGAAAATATAAGCAATATTCTTAATACAAGTAATGAACAAGAAAAAGATTCTTTAATAATGGAAACTGAACCAACAACAGACATTGATGAAATACAACAGCATAGTGCTACTCAGAATGCCCAAACAGGGGAAGTAAATTCTAGTAGTCATGCATCTCCTATAGCTACAAATAACAGTAACGAAGGAAATCAGATCACAAGTACTCTCAATAGCTAACGCGGAAGAAGCAAACAATCAAGGCAACACACAGAAGAACAGCCAACAGAAACAACGTTAGTTGAAGACGACATAAATGAAATGAACGAAGAAATATAATAGTGATTTAAAAGATATCGAAAGACAAAATAGTATTATGACCGAAGAAGAAGAAAATAATGATGACAGCAGCAGTAATGATAGTGAAAAGCGTAATAATGACAGTTCTACTAAAACTGATAATGAGGAAGAAAGTAGTGAGGAAGACGATGATGATGACTATAATGAAGAACAGCTCTAATTCTGACAATTAACGTTATCTTTAATAATTATTTATACATATTGTAAAATAGCATCAAATATTATTGCTTATAAACATGTTTATCTTAACTATGAATATTTGTATGTAAATAAAGTCATTAATATTATAATAATCAATCAATGGGCACCTAGTTTTTTTTTTAAAAAAAAAAGAAATAAAATAAATAAAAATATTAAATTGCTTCAGTCAGTTCAATACGTTTATATTCTTGTAATAATAGGCTGTCATAAAGCCTTAGCCCATGAAAGCTATGAGATGTTGTGGCGACGTGCTTATAATGCTACTAAAGTTATTCACCAATCTCTTACGAAATATTGGCAGGTTAACGTCAACTTCAAGCATCCACTTGTAAAAAAAAAAAAAACCCAAAGGTATAGTCATTAAGGACTAATCGTTTTTTCTCAACGGAAAGTTTCAGTTTTTTAAATATGAATGTAGCTTTTACTTTGTTCAAGTTTACTATCTTGATTTTATTCGGAAATATTGCTTCATCAGTTTCAACTTTTATTGTTGTTGACGATATAGCCAGGACAGTTCTAATATCTTATTCTAAATAATAACTTCAATCAGATACATCTTTACAATTTATACATGATTTAGGTGGCGCTGAAATTGTGACTTGAAAACTTTTTTATTTTTTTTTTCTTTGTAAATAAAATGAATTTCGATATTTTTATTTTAATACTGTATCTTTTTTTCGCAAATGGCCCCCATCGGTGTAAGTTCTAATGACCATATTTTATTATTATTATTGTTTATGCATCATGAAATGACTCACTTTTTTTTTGCTATCTCTATTTAGACTATCAAGTCTTATCCTGAAAACCCTCGCGTTGCTAGAGCTCAAATTACTGTAAGTAGATTATTACAAATAATATAGCGATTTATATGAAATCTAATTTATCTTAAATTAAAGGCTGAATACAGTGGTGTTGAATTCAATGTTGGCTTTTGACCTTAAAAAGGATGTTTCTCCTGAATTCTTAGCCAAATTCCCTATGGGTAAGGTTCCTGCTATGGAATCCGCTGAAGTTAACCTCTTTGAATCTTCTGCCATTGCCTACTATGGTAATATAAGATAGTTAAATTACGAAGAAGGAAAATACCATTTACTAACATTTTTTTTTTCAATAGCTGCTGCTCAAAAAGAAAACAACCCTCTTCTCGGTAGCAACGCCATTGAAAAAGCCGAAGTCCTTCAATGGGTCCTCTTTGCTGATAATGAGATCAACAACAACGTTGGTGCTTGGATCTATCCTCTCTTGGGTTACTTCCCCTATATTAAGCCCAATGTTGATGCTGCTACTGAAAGAGTTAAGAGAGCCTTAGCTGCCCTTAACAAGACTCTTCAAACCAAGACATACCTTGTTGGTGAAGCTGTTACTTTCGCTGATATCACTCTTGTTACTTCTTTGGTCTTGGCCTTCAAGACTGTCCTTGACAAGTCTCTCCGTAACGAATATAAGAACGTCACTCGTTACTTCACTACTGTTGCTTCTAAGGATATCTTCAAGAAGTACCTTGGTGAACTTCAACTTTGTGAAACTCCTTTGAAGTACACTCCTCCTAAGAAGGAGAAGAAGCCTGCTGCTCCTAAGGAAGCTGCTCCCAAGAAGGAAGCTGCTGCCCCTAAGGAAGATGCTGAAGAGGCTAAGCCTGCTCCTAAGCCCAAGTCCAAGTTGGACTTGTTGCCTCCCTCTCCTTTCATCTTGGATGCTTGGAAGCGTGAATACTCCAACAATGATACTAAGGATGCCATCAAGTGGTTCTGGGAACACTTTGATCCGAGGGTTATTCCATCTGGAAGGTCGACTACAAGTACAACGACGAATTGACCTTGACTTTCATGTCCAACAACTTGATTGGTGGTTTCTATGCTCGTCTTGAACGTGCTCACAAGTACGCTTTTGCCTCTATGATTGTTCGTGGTGAAAATAACAAGAATACTATCTCTGGTTACTTCGTCATTCGTGGCCAAGAAGTTCCTTTCGAAATCTATGATGCTGCTGATTATGAATCTTACAACTTCCAAAAGATTGAACCTTCTCAATATGAAGAAAAGAAGGAAGAAATCTACAAGTACTTTGCTTGGGACTTTGAAGACTGTGTTGACGGTAAGGTCTTCAAATAAACACGATGCATTTTTTGAAAATAAAATAAAAATTTAATAATAAAAACAACCAATAATTCAAGCTGTAATTTTATGATGATAAGAGTTTTTTTTCCACATTTATAAAAAGTTGTCACTGAGCTTGATTTTGCTGCATTTCTTTCTTGTTTATAATTTTCCTCTTTGTTGTTATTTCACACGAATGACAAAGTAGCGTTTATTCATTGATTTGGTTTGTCATAAGTGTAAAAGTCATCAATTCACACAAAGATAAAGTTTACACTGTCATTACATCAAATCAAACTAGAATATTACCCTTCCTCCATCACCAAAAGGCAGACCATATTATTCTTTTCCCTCCTTCTTTGAAACAATTAGGGATATTAAAAATGTAGACTATCAGGTACTCTTGTCCATCTGTAATGATTTGTTGGAAGACTTGGATCAACTTGGACAACATCTTGAAGCTACCCATTTGAAGGAAATGTGTGGTAGCTTATTAAAGAAACGTAAGCTTGGTTTACGTGTTTTGCGTTATTTTGTGAGACTAACTCCCTTTTTTTTTTTTTTTTTTTTTTTTTTTTTGTAACGGTAATAAAGCAATAATGAAGAAAACAAAGCTTATTCCACAGACGAAGGTCTACAAGATAATGATACTGATTTGGTCAAGAGAAAGGTAACCGTTACTGAAGACTTGGATAATGACGATTTTACATCTGAGGATTGTATCTCAGAATGCAGTGAATCATTACCCATTATTAAACCTGCTATGAAGTTGGAGATACCCTCAGCAGCACGTATTATTGACAGACCTATGAAGAAGCTCTGAACGTATGAAGAGGCGATCACCCACGCTTGTCAGCGAAAAGGCAGTGAACAAGACAAGAACAAAACAATGTTCATCCTTGACAATTTGTCACTATATCTGGCTATTCATACTTTTCTTGGTGGCTATAGATGATATTTATAGGTGCTATTTCATTGGTATTGTGTTTAATATTAACCTCTTTATGATATTACCAACAGTCATGATACAGATCATGGTCTAGTATTATACTTGCCAGATCTCTAATTCAATAAGAATTTCATTTGGAGGTTTTACATTTATTAATTACATAATTTATGTTTGACATAATGATATTGTTTATATAGCATTATTTATATAATGTTTATATTTTATTATATATTTATGTTATGTATGAATACAACAGAAGATGTCACACATAGCAATACTTTGTGTGTCAGTTGTTCTTCACAAAGTGATGTCGGTTTAAAAAATTTATTTGCTGCCTCCCCTTATTCTGCACTATTGACACAATGTGAGTATGTTCCTCTCACGGATGAAATATGCAAATTGCTGAACAAAGACTGGCATTTTTATCCGCAAGTTAAATTTTTTTCTGCGACCTCTTCGCTGGATCAATATTCCTGAACACCAACAACAATCAAGGCAGTTATGGTTAATACTTTAATATACGGTAGAACAAAAACTGTTGATTGGCATCGTGAACCCTTCGGGAAGCTTAAGAATAGTGTGCGCACAACCTCTCTTCCCCCACCAGTAAAGATCGCGCATCCAAATGTTTAGCCTGTTTCGTTGAACAACGCGATGGGAAAACACTGATAATCGGCACCCAGGTTTCTAATGCTTTAGTAACATCAAGCATACGCTTGGATGAAGAAATCTTGTGCTGTTGGAGGTATGTCTTCTAATTTTCAACTCTGTACGTTCAAGGACTCTCTAACATGCAAGATTTTTATTGATCTTAACTCATTAAAATCCGCAAAGGCATTGATTGAAGACCCATCAGCAACATGTGTATCAGATATCGGCATCATATCTCATGAATTACGACAGGTGCGTACGCAATTTCACTCACCATCAACATACACATCTTGCCGTGCTCATGGTCCAATAACCATGATTCATACTTGTCACCCGTTCTCGCTCTTCACTTTAGCTGAATTTGACCGTGGCCGTAGTCCTTGTGCTTCTATTTTTCGTACCATTGTCCGATGAAGTTTTAACACATCGCAACAAAGCTGAACTTGACAAGGAAAACGTCGTTAAATGGATCAAAGAAGCAACTGGTAAGGGAAAAGAAATTCTTACGAAAGTCCTTGGCTTGTATGAAGAGAATAACGACAGCCTTCCAATTTTATTCAATGTCCCGCTCAAACAAAGAATTGGAAAAGTTTGTCATTCTTTTAAAGCCCACAATTGTTTCAGCAAATACTTCGGTTGAAAGCCAAGTGAAGGAGGTCTTTATGATCTTTAGTTGATATTGATTTGTTTTTTTTCTGTTGTTTTTTAATAAAGCTGTTGTATAGTTTAAAAAAAAAGGACAAAACCATGAGACACAAGCATAAATGAATTTTTTTTATTTTTATTTTTATTTATTTTTTTTAGAGAGAATTTCATGTATAGAAAAACAATTTATCTTTTTGCATAAACTATCTAAATAATCCAGGAATTCTAAAGGCGCGTTCTAAAGGCTCCCAATTCTAAAGGCACTCAAATTCTAAAGGCACTCAAATTCTAAAAATTATTATTATTAGTATTATTATTTTTTTGACCAAATGAGCACATAGCATTTATATATGCTGTTTTACCCTTGTCAGATCGCTATGGAAAAAAAGGAAAGAAAAACCCTTTTGAGATAAAAGGGAAAATGTTAAAGTATATGTATAAGTGATGATAATTTACTATCAGAAAATCGTTATTGTATTGAAAGAAGATGATGGTCAGAGGGTTCAGGGATTTGGGAGTGAAGCTAGATAGTTCATCTCAAGCAGAATTGCACATATAGAAGGCCAGTGTATGAGCCAGGCATCAATTAATTTTTTCACTTTCTTAGTATGGAATGTTGATGGTGATAGATTCAAGAGATAAGAGAGTGGATCTTCAATAGATTTGGGGTATCTGAAGGCGGTTATGCATATGTAAACAAGAAAAACTATGTGAGCGTGTGAAGAGTTCATTTGAATGGAAAGGGCAGGCTTGGGGTTTACCAAGAGGTAACCAACCAAGTCGCCATCGCACGCAACGAAAACGTTCACTTCTTGTCATTGGTACCGTAAGAATAGGGTCGATAATTAGATTATTACGGCAATGGGATAAAAGTTTCGAATATTTTTCTTGTAGTTTTGAGTGGTAGCTGTCAAGTGGGAATTGTCTTCGTTTTCTACTAAAATCCTTATGAGATGTAGTGTTAAGAACTTGCTCTAGTACAGTATTTCTGTATCAAATTATTGCGAATTGAAATGTCACTTGTCGCATTTTTATATTCTTAACGATTTTGATAAAACAATGAGCACAGAAGCACAATTCATTTTGGAAGATGGTCAAGGTGGAGAAAGAGATGATACTAGAGCTAAACTGATGGAAGTTGATCAGTATGATCCTCAGATCAAGACCTTGACAACGCTTGGTCAGTATCTGCAATACCAAGTTGATCACCAGCAAGCCTTTGATGAGATTAACGAGGAATCCAATACTCAGAGAAGGGGAAAAAATAAAAATGAAGCTGAAAAGAAGAAAAAAACTTATACAGTATATTCACATATTGATAAGTTCAACTTCATTCACCATATGATTGTGAAGTGTCTCGAAACAATTGCTCCAGTTGCCAGGTTATATAATATTAATCCTCGAACAGGTCAGCGCTGGTGGGATAAGTATAAGGAAAACCCAGACACTTTTTTCGAAATTAAACCAAGAGGATATATCAAAAAGCTCTATATCGAGCACAAGGACTTTCTGGTGGAGCTATTCGATAAAGATCCAGCTGCAACCATCGAGGACGCTATTGAGGAGTTATCGGCTAATTTTGAAGAAATTAAAATGGATTCGACCGCAGTTTATGATTTCTTGAAAGTTGATATGAATTTCATTTTTAAAAGAGCTGCATTTCATGCTGAGAAGAGGAATAATGAGGAAAACGTGGAGGAGAGATACAAGTAGGCTACTCAGATTGCCAATTCAGATGTCAATTTCCTTAGAAATTGCATCTTTATCGATGAATCCGGTTTCCACGTTATTTGAAGCGTACTGGTGCTAGGGGACCTAAAAGAAAAACACCTATAATAGAAGTTGAGAATTCCTAAGCTGTGTCTCATACCATTTTAGGGGTTATTTCTGTCTATGGTGTGATTCATACTAGCGTAAGAATACCTAGTCTTCTCACCTCTCAGCTTGTGCCTGTCTCAGTAGGCAAAAAAAAAAAGAAAGACTGATACCGGAGTAGCAAAAAACAGCAAAAACCAAAGGGTATTAATGCTGACCATTTTGATGTTTTTATAAAAGAAACTCTAGATGTCATGGATCAATTTCAATATTTAAAAAGAGGTATATTTAATTATGGACAACGCTTCTTTCATAAAAGACTTGACATAACTGATCTGATCACAAAAAGGAGCTATAATTATATTTTCTTACCCCCATACTCGCCAGAGCTCAACCCGATCGAACAATTTTGGTCTGTAATAAAAAGTAAGATCAGAAGAGTTAAAATGTTTAATGGAGAAACCTTGCAAGATCGGATTACAGAAGCTTGCAACCAAGTTTCTCAAAGTCATCTTTATAATATTATCAAACATTCTGATAATCGCTTATACAACTGTTTAAATAAAAAGCATATTTAATCTTTTTCCCTTCTATATAATCCTTTTTATTAGTATTGTTGCAGAGTTTAGTAAAAATGCGACAAGTGAAAAAAAAATGCGCCAAGTGAAATTATCAAACGTGCCAAGCTAAATATTCAGATGGGACAAGTGAATTTCCCAATCACGAGGCTTTAACAAAGAAATATGAATATTCTAAGATTTTCAGGCGCATTTTTATTTTCCGAGTGTTAACCTTTCTTAGTTGCTCTGACGACATTTAAAATCTGTTTATTCTACAACACATGTAAAGTTAGATAGGCAATATGAGGTTACTTATTCCTTGTACTGTCTAGCAGGCAATTCAGTCTACTTGTCTTTAATGGTTTAAGAGGTAAAATAAAATGTATTTACTTTCATTTGGTGTTTTAAAGCTTTAGATCCCTTTATTCAGATGAGTGCTTTTAAGTAAATGGATCCTTTTTAACTAAATGAGTGTCTTTAAATAAATGGGTGCCTTTAAGTAATTGGGTGACTTAAAGTAATTGGATCCTTTTTAATGAATGGGTGCGTTTAATTAAATGCATCCTTTTAAATAAACGGATGTCTTTAAATGTTTGGGTACTTTTAAACAGTTGGATGTCTTTAAATGTACTCTTTTGAATAAATAGACTCTTTTAAGTAAATGGGTGCCTTTTAAGTAAACGGGTGCCTTTGAGTAAATGGATTCTTTTAAGTAATTGTGTTGTATTAACCAAATGGGTGCCTTCGACCAAATGAGTGCCTTTACACACAGAATATTTTGATATTGGGCACTTTGAAATTGGATCACCTATTCGGTAGTTCGAGTTGTTTGGTCAGCCATTGAGTCTTACTTACATTCAACTTTTTGTTTTTATTTTATTTTCACACTTGTTACCTGGATAATAGCTGTATAAATCAATACACTAGGTAGATATACATAATAGCATATATTTGGCTCTTGCCACATTTCACCTGTGATAGTTTGAACATGTATAAATCAGATACTTGATGCAAAAATCATATAAGAAGAACAAAGCTTTCTACTTCAGAAATTCATTACGCATTGTACTCGTTCCAATATTGGCATTATTCGCGTTAAGACACTCTAATTAATGACTCTAACACATAACTGTTAGATAGGATATGGCTTAACTTTCGTTTTTTACAACCAAACTTAGTAAGCTTTTTAAAACAGCTGTAACATACCTAAAACGGTCTTATTGTTATCCTTTCTTTAGCTAATACACTACAACAAATACACCGTAACTAGTACACCACGGCTAATGTACCACAGTACTCGCATTTTAAATAAACTACTTTATTGAAAAGAAAGAAAAAAAATAGGAAAAAAAATAAACAAATTTAAACAAGTTACAAGCAACCGAAGACTTCAAAGACCTGTTTCACTTGGGCTTCAACGGATTTGTTTGCCTCTACAATGGTGGGTATTAATAAGATAGCAAGTGCTTCTAGTTCTTTGTTGAGTGGAGCATTATATAAAATTGGAAGCCTGTCCTTATCATTTTCATACAAAGCAAGGATGTTGGAGAGGATTGCTTTTCTTTTGCCTTTTGATTCATTGATCCATCTACTAACATTTTCTTTGGCGAGTTTGGCGTCGCTATTATTTAATAAAACCTCATTAGCAATTGTACGAAATATAGATGCAGATGGACTGCGACCACGGTCAAATTCACTTAAAGTGAAGAGTGAGAATGGATGGCAAGTATGATTTATGGTGATTGGACCAGAAGCACGGCATAAAGAGTATGTCGACGGTAGATGAAACTTTGTTCGTACTTGCCGCAATTGGTGAAATATAATACCAATATCCGAAACGTGTGTAGTTGATGGATCTTCAATCAATGTCTTTGCAGATTTTAATGAGTTAATATCAATAAAAATCTTAGATGCCAAGGAGTCCTTGATTGTATCGAGCATGAAATGAGATGAAGTGGCACCAATCGATACAAAACCTTTTTCATCTAAACGAATACTGGAAGTTACTAATGCGTTTGAAACTTGAGTTCCAATTACAAGCTTCTTTCCATCCCGTACATCTAATGAAGTAGGCCATACATTTTGGTGGAATACTTTTATTGGTGGGGGCAACGAGTTTGTTATGACGCTGTTTTTTAACTTTCCAAATGATTCACGATGATAGTCAGCGGTTTTCGTCCTGCCATACATTTCAACCGTATTTATCATGATTGCTTGGTTGATATTAGTATTCAAGATTATTGACCCAGCGAAAACAGTTGCAGAAAATATTTGACTTGAGGGTAAAATTGCCAGTCTTTGTTCAGTAATGTGCATAAGTCACCTGTTAAAGGAGTATACTCCCATTGTTTCAATAATGAGGAATAAGGCGAGGTATCAAACAAGCTGCTGAGTTCAGCATGAACTTGTGATGCACAGTTTATACATAATGAATTAGTAGCACTGTCATCTTCATATGGTCTTTTCATGATTGGAATAGATTTGATAGAATCATATTTTGCTACAAGATTATTTACAATAGTATCATGAGCGAGTGCATTTTCCTCATTTCCATGATTGTCCAATATTGTAAAAGGTTTTAGTGACAAAGTATCTACAATGAACATTGTTTTGTTGTTGCTATTTTCTGTACCTTTTTGCTGGCATGCGTGGGTGATTGCTTCGTTATATGTTCGGAGTTTCTTAGTAGGTTTATCGATACTTCGTGTTGTGGAAGGCATATCCAACTTTAAATTGGGTCTTATGATAGGTAATACTTCCTTTCGTTCCGAGATAAAATCTTCAGGTGTTAAATCCTCATTATCCATATCTGTAGCGAGGGTTTCTAAATCAATGTTATCATTCTAGATCTTCATCCATGGCGTAAGCGTTAAGTTCTTGATTAATGCTTTCCTCTCTTTTCAAAAAAAAAAAAAAAAATAAAAATAAAAAGACGAGCGTAGTAATCAAGTAAACATAAGAGCAGCTTTTGCTAACAAAATCATTCTTTTGATTTAGCGTTTGAGTTTTAGTTAAACGAGAGATTAAAAAGAAAGGAAAAGAGCATATTTACTTATTTAAAAAAAAATGATAGGCGTCGCTTTTTCTCTCTGCTGGCCTTTTTTTTTTTTTTTTTTTTTTTTTTTTTTTTTTTGACAACTTGTTCGAATAACAAGCCTGAACCAGGTAATCCACACCCAATTTCGTTCAAAACCGCCTACATCTCGAAGATCATTTTTTTCAGCAAAAGCTGTAACTTCAGCAAGAAACGCGGTCCTATGCTGTCTAGAAAGAGAGGTCCAAGCAACAAAAGTACCAATTTCATCAATTGTCGCGTTGACAAGATTGTTTGTTTCCCTCCTTAAATCTTCGTAAATTTTATTTGCGTCAGATCTTTCTTCTACAACTTCAGCAACGGCATTCATAATTACAGCTTTCCCTATATCTTTTGGTTTTACGATCAAGTTATTGTGGGCTGCAACAAAAGTAGCGGGAACAACAGTAGCATTATTGGTGATAGGGGGAGTAGCCAAAAAGAAATGGAAATACGATTTATTATATCATGATTAGCTGCAATATCAGTACTAATCTCTTCGAATCTATTACTAATAGGTTCAATATTTTGGATCTGGGTTAGTGTATCGACTATACCACCAATTCTCTTCACTTCGTTTATGAGCTCTATGGCCCATTTTGGTGGTGCTTGCAGTGCCATATGTCTGAAAAAGTTGAAAAAAAGAACAAAAGTATATAGAACTAATTTAAAATACACTAACTTTATAAATATTTGCTTACGCAATAAATCATCCTTTGTGACTACTGATACTATTATTATATATAGGTGTAACAATGAAATTAACCTCTCTTTTCTCTTCTAAACTTATTATATTTAGAATAAAATGAATTGCACAATATGCTTTGAATCTACGGGGAAAAGAAAGCTTGTAGCCAGACGAGAATTTACACGACACTTGGCTGCGCATCGACGTGAAGAGTTTAAGAGAAAGCTGAGGCAGATACCAGAAATCCCAGAGAATAATGCTGTGGAGGGCATATCTTCAAGTGGTAAGAAAAAAGCACTTCAAATAGATATTCTAGCTACTATGACTAATTATGTATTTAAACAGCAGTTATAGCTTCCAGAACTATCCAGAATCCAGCTTTTCGACAAGGACCGTTGGCAGACATGGTTATTGACGATGATATTGAGATGGAATATTTTCAAGTAGAAGTAGGTAGGGATAGTGGCCAAGAAGAAAGATAGTTCTGGTAGAAGAAGAAGGAAAGGAAGTGTGATATTTCTTTTAAAATATCAAATAAAAAATATCAGAAAATAAAAAAATATTAAGACAAAAAAGTCAAGAGACCGAACAATATTCTAAAGTCAATTATTTTATTTATGAATTAAATTGATGGGGTATTTATAAGAATTGTTAAAGAGGTCTGAGGATAAGATGGAATCAGAAAAATGTTAGTTACGACCGAATAAGATATGTTATAGATAATGAAGTGTTAGTAGTTTTAATATTATTAGATGAAGCGCATCAAGAGAGATTCTGGAGATTCTAGATAGAATTTGCTTAAATAAATTTATGATCCGCATGTTTAATCATGAAACATGACATTATAAGTCAGCTCATGACAGGAAGAAAAAGAAGGCTTTTTCGAAGCAGAGGACGATGAGGAAGAGATAGCTGAGGCGCTTGTTGATGATATCGGATATCTTACCAATGTTGAATATGAAGAGGATACATATATAGATGATGATGAAACCACAGCTACTATTGAAGCTGAAGAGCCTTTTGATGAAGCTGAAAGCTGGGCTAAGCAAGATTTGTTACGAATTGGTACATCAGAAATGACTGGTGAACCTATTCATTTATACATTGAAGATTCTGGTAGGGCTTCAGAACATACTGAGAGTGAGAAACGAAGCAAAGAATTATGTTTTGATGCAAAACCACCAAGTGAAAAAGTCAGCCAAAGACGCAATCATTAAATGGATCAACAAAAACATATCATCCTAATCAGTCAAAGATGAATCACTAAAGTCTGTTTGGCTTTCTGAAAAGCTTCTTAGTGAATCAACCGCTTTGAATGAAAGGCGCTATGACATGTGCGCGAACGGATGCATGATGTTCTTAAGAGATGAAGAGCTACGATGTTTTTTTTGTCTTGGGCAAGATATGAACAATCTGAAGATGGATCTAGCAAGCCTCGAAACACGCTCTCCCAACTAAGTATAGCCGATTTCGTTTCATCGTACTTTGTGAATGCTAATAGTAGGGATAAAATTTTATACCGAGCAAGAAAAGATGCAACCGCTGAAACAGAAAAGTTTAAAGATTACTACGACGGTCAGCATACAAATATGCGAAAACAAAAAACATGTTTTCAAATGAGTATGATATTGCTTTATCTTTATATGTTGACGGTTTTCATAGGGCCAGAGAGGAAAAGAAAGTATGACAATCGTCAAAGCAGTGAATATGAATTTAGCGCCAACTGAAAGAATGAAGAAGGACAATCAATTCGTTGTATGCGTTATAAAAGGCCCTAAAAAGCCTAAAGACCTTTACAGCTTTTTGCATCCTCTAATCAAAGACCTGTTAAATATGCAGAATCGAGGAGTAAAGCTTCAAGCCGACGGTTTAACTTTTGCGTTTAAGGTTTATATTTTTTATTTTTAGGAGATATTATGGCCTGTGCAGATGTTTTATTCATGCTGGACATATGTCTACATGGTTGCCGAGTTTGTACAGTAAAATGCGCTTCATATGATTCACGAAATGTTTATTTCGCTCCAGATGGGGTGGACGGCCTGAAGTTCGTAGCAAAGAGAGCTTTCAGCAAGTAAACATCCAGTTGCCAGCTAACAGTGAAACAACAAAGGAATAAAAAAAAGGTTACACCATTGATTTGTTTCAAAATGTTTAGTGCCTCCTTTTGTGGACTTGATAATTGCATTTGACAGGCCACAACTTACCGAAACAGTTTTGGGTTTTATGCAAAATCCAAACAAGAAATACGGTATAGCTAATCCATTTGAAGTATCACCAGCTATAATCAAGAACTTGGTGAAAGGCTCGCTGAAGTACAAAGCCATGTTTCGTTAAATTCTTTTGAAGGTATATTCATGAATCTTTCTTTAAGAGGAAGGGCATGCTCGTGCGGTTGACTGGCAAATATTACTAGTTTATCTTCTTCCAAATCTTGTTTGCGAGGGTATTCTGAAGATGGCAAATGTTCATCTAGCAGAAACACAAGAGTTATGGCCTCTACAGTAGATGATAGGCTTATTGAAAAAAGTTAAAAGACAAGTTGTAGCAGTCTGCTGTTTGTCAAGTGCTTGTACATTGGCATTACAATATGAGATAACTGTGGAAATCTAAAGAAATTCAACATAAGATCCAAGTATGGACTTCTTTTATTAAAGAAAACATGCCTCCTAATGTCGTACAGTAACGCAGCACCACATACAATATTTGTTTATATAATCAAACAACTTGGACCTATGAGGATGTTCAGCTGTAGACCTTTAGAGCGAATGATAGGCATGATTAAGCAACAATTGGTTCAAAATCTAAACCAGCCAAAATGCGTTTAACATTGCCAAAAAGTTTGCAGAACAAGGCTTTATTTCACGCAAAGATAACACTACAGATAATGCAGTACACAAGAAAAGGTTGTATCCAAGAAAGGTAGAACATCTGGGTTTGTTAATTAAATGAATTTTTGTATTTGGGAGCTGAATTCATACAAAAATGTACCACATTCCACCAAAACAATGACAACTTGCAAGTAAGAAAAATTTATTCAGTAATCTGTACTTTGAAGGAAATTCATCAGTAAAACTGAATACAAAATCTGGAAAACGCAATGGTGTATTGCAAAACTGCCTTATCAGATTTTAATGGTACAGAGGAAATTTCTATGTTGTATCTATTGAAGTAATGTATGAAGTAGAAGGAGAGTCATCGTTGTTTGCATAGGATAGAATCTGTGACAATATAAAGTTGAAGGATATGAAGATAGGGTACTGTTTTTTTTTTGTCGATTCCGATACTCTTTACAAAGAATGGAAGGGAGCAAACATTTGTAATTTTGGATATGGAATCAATCCAAAGCCCTGTTAGCACAATCAAGTCTATAATAATGATAGAAAACATTATTTGATATGGCGAAAAATATGCTTAAGCTCAGTGTCATTTTGAAGAACCCTCCTTTTTCATTTTCATTAACATAATTAGCGTTAACTTCTTAACTTTTGTAGGAACTATTAAAAAAATATCACACAGTCTAAATAACTTAAATAACCTTTTTTACACTTTTAATATTTTCAATACTTTAAAGCTTTTTAAAAAATTTACTAAACTTGATTTGACACTTTAAAACACTTTCTTGTTAGGTGACTACAAATAACATCTAAAAGTACCTTATTATCACTTTTTCCGCCGGTGGTTGCAAAAATCACCCGAAAAAACACTTTTAGAACACCTTAAACCACTAAAAGCACTTAATTTTTCCCGTAGTGATAAATCAGAAAAGTGTTAGTTACAAAAGCATAAGAAATGTTATAGATAATGAAGCGTTAAAAGTTTTATAAAGTTGACCAAGAGAGTTTTAGCAGAATATTGATAAAATTCCTCGAACGATCTTATGATCTACATGTTTAATCAAGAAACATAACATTAAAAATCATCTTGTGACAGGAGCCTTTAATTTGGGAGCCTTTAAAATTGTGAGCCTTTAATCTGAAAGTCTTTAAAGTTTCAAGTGCCTTTAGAGTTTCAAGTACCTTTAAATTTCTAGCCTTTAATGTTTCAAGTGCCTTTAGTTTGTGTGCTTGTAAAGTTTGTGTATCTTACTCTAACCACTTTTTGTTTTGCTGCTTTTCAAGTCCTTTTACATTTTCTATAAATAAGCACTTGGCCTGATTTTGATGCATTTTTTCTTGTTTGTAATTTTCTTTTTGCTTTTATCTCACAAAATGATAAAACAGTGTTTATTCATTGCATTTGTCTGCCACATGTGTAAGAATCATCAATTTACACAAAGAAAAAGTTTACACCGTCATTACCTCAAAATGAGGATATTACCCTTCCTCACCACAAAAGGCAAGCCATATTATACTCTTTCCTC